AGGCAATAGAAAGTAACGCAAGGATCGAAGGGGTGGGGAGGCGAGAAACCGCCCCCCGCCCCCTTAGTAGTTTTGACACTCATGCAAGATGGCAGCCCATAACGCAAAGCTCTCGATATATGCGATCTCGATGATCTTACGGAAAAATAGAGGACTGTGATATGATTTGTAATGCAGCAAAGAAATGATTAAATCACCGCAAACGGCATCATATCCAGATGGATGTTACTAAGTATTTAGCTCTTCTTGATCAATTTCTTACGCAAGACATCATTGGTTCGTGTGCACTTAATGTCATGATAGACAGTGAGATGTCCCAGAAACAAAAAATTGATATAATCTGCTCCATTATTAGCACTATTGGCCTTTCGTTCCCCCTCGCCTTTATAAATCTTATCTTTGATTCTGCTTTACAATTCTACATGACTTGCATACACCCGGGGGGGGGGGGGGAATTCCTTATAGGAGACTTATGGGGATGTGTCGCTGGATGGGGTCGCATTTTCATGACTGGAGTGAATATAATGGGGTCGCATTTTCAATAGAGTTACTAGAATGGGGTCGCACATTTTTTGATTTTTGGGGTAAGACAGTTCTTCATATTAGCAGTTAGCAAACGTACCAGAATGTTTGTACTGTTGGTGAAAAGTAGAGTGTTCTTCATTTGATATAAGGTAGATGCATAAAAAGAAAGTGACTAAGTTGGGATCGCAAAAATTACATATTTTCCCAAGAGTGACTAATATGGGGTCTATAATTGGCCACAGAATAGACTATAATGGGGTAAGGGCTCCGAGAGGCCAGCGGCACATACCCAGCAAAATTAAACCCAAGTAGCCCCCCCGGGGCATACACGTATCTCTTGTGTTAACAACAACTACTTTATTTATTGTTCTTCAGCTACCTGAGGTAGCTGCTTCCACCATCTGATGTGCCGTTACGACTCCATTTAATAACTCCAGAATGCTGGGTATAATGAAACTCCCTGCTGCCGACTTCTCTTTTAAGCCTCTACACCAATGTCAAACCATCCATCCATCTCACGATTTTTACTGCCCCCAAAATATATGGCGGTTGCTGTCATTCCAAATCGCTTGAGCTGCTCAGCTTGGTGTCATCATGGCTGCGAGAAGCGAAATGATCTATAAATTGACAAGCCAGCTTTTCCTTTTATTACATTCATTATTTGTTGTGGAAAGCGTTGAAAATCACGCTCTTCCCAACGCCCCTTAGAAGAATCGCAAAAACGTCCTTGCTTTAATCGAGATTCTTCTAGCAAATTTCTGCTCATCGCGCAGAAAAAGTTCGAATGCCTTGTTTATAATAGCTTCGATGTCTAAATGATTCGATGACAGATGATGTCTATCGCATTTCACATCAACATCACAGGCACTTGAGTGTCAACAGAAGCCGTGTCATAATCGACCAACGAGAGGGTACACTTGAATCCAGTATACCGGAACGATCGACCTTTTGAGAACGTTTACAGGCGTTCCCTCGCTCTCGCCCAATTCCCCCTCGCTTTTTTCTCCTTGTTTCCTGTGCATAAAATGATTCAAATTGCTCCCCACCAACCGAACACTGCGGTCTACATGACTGACTCTCGACCAACAGTCGGCCAATATAAAAGAGTCATTTTGGCATAGTCGAAAATTTTTTCAAAAGGGGTTAACCCATGATTTTGGTCAAAAATTAAAAAATTTCTCTCAAGTCTGATTTTCTTTGAAAAAGGCCTAGGTATGTATTTTTATGATGTTGTTTCTAAAAAAGTAGGCTTTTTAGACTATAAAAATGTCATTTCGATTTTTGCATTTTTCCAAAGAGGTTAACCCATGATTTTCGTCAAAAATTCAAGATTTCTTTCGAGTCTGCTTTTCTTTGAAAAGGGCCTAGATATGTATTTTTATGATGTTGTTTATAAAAAAGAAGGCTTTTTAGACTATAAAAATGTCTTTTGCACATAGTCGAAAAAATTGCATTTATCCACCGGGGGTTAACCTAAGATTTTGGTCAATTCACTGACTTTCTTTCGAGGCAGCACGATGGTCGTTTGCTAGGGATTTTTCTTCCGCAACTTCTTAAATTTAATTTATGGCTCACAGTGGTCTTCGTCGTTACCAGGGCAGAAAGAGGCTTCTAGGTTTTCCCTTTGAAGGTGTTTTCAGCTGGTTTGACGAACAATTTCTTTCCAGTCGACTGAAAGTTTAAACCGGGTGACTTACATTATGACAAGATAGCTTAAATCTGAGCATATAACATCAATTTAGTTGAGGAAAAAATAACTCGCTTACGGCTGGAGTAGTATTTTAAAAAGTACTAGCCTCTTGAAGTAACTAATAAACGTGATCCTGGACAAAACCACCGTTACATTCAATTAACACTGTTGAGCTGTTATAACGGAAAGCAGCTGTTAAATATTACACGCTTCAAATTCTGAAGTATTATTTTACGGTTAGATTTGTTCTAAGCACCTGCTAACGGCTGCCATTTGTTGCCATGGAAGCAGTTATTAGCAACAAAGTGCGAGTATATTTTTACTGCTGCCAAAATTACCTGTATTTGTGGTTCTCAACTTCAAAAGTTAAATTCTCCTCCTCCATGACTTAACCTGACTTTCAACGTCCCAGAAAAAGGATTTTTTACATTTAATTTTGTTTTACTAGGGGAGCAAGGCCAAACGAAGGATTTGAACAATTTTCCCAACCTTTGGGACTAGTGATACGTCGTCTTCTCTATTTACACGGTTAATATCACAAGTTATTACACGGTGAGTTTTTCTTAGTGTACATCGCTACTTAAAATATCAAAAAAGATAGTTATCTTTGTACGGATAATGATAGATAATGTGTACAGTATATAAGTATTTGCAAAGAACCGCTTCTTCGCAGATTTCGGCGATAAACAGAAGACTATAGTTTGCATAAAATATACATATTTTTCAGACGTCACTAGTTTACAACCAACAAAATCATTTACACAAATCTTGAATTGGTCAACTCTAAAGTTTAAATAACCGGCTGGCTGCGATATTGCGAAGACTGTATTAGCTTCAAGTTTTATCGTGCAAACCTCTTCATCAAGTGAATTCATCATATAAATAGTGTTCTATTTTTCATTTTGATCTTTGTAATAAAAAAAAAAAGAAAAGAAAAAGTTAAACAGTATTTTGCGCTCGATGAAAATCTGTTTGAAACATTTCTTTTTTCCAATAATGGAACTAAAAAGAGGGAACTATCCTTATTCAAATTCTTCGTTCGTAGTTTATAGTTTTTCTTTAACAAGTGCAAACGTTTCAATTTTACTATTATTTGACTTTCACACAAAAATATAAGTCGGCTTCTAATTTGCCTTCAATTTATTAAGTCTGGTATTTGCTTAATACTGACGGTTGATTCGATTGTCTAAATTTATGTCCACTAGATGACAAGTTGTCTTTTTAAATATTTGTGAAGTCTATGAGATTCGAACTAAGTTTACCACTAAGGTAAGTGCATCGTTAGCAGAAAAGAGGGGAGTAAATTAGAAGACTTGAATTCTGCGTTGGTGCGAAGATATCTCGTAGTGACTTGAGATATGATTGCATGAACACGATCATTTGGATTATATCAACCGTGCAGAACTCGCGCTAACGAAAGAGCTCAAAACATCCATGACTACTTAACATGTTTTATTATTGCCGTAATTGTAAAAATTGAAAATTTGTAATTTGTTTAACCACGGAGCACTAAGGAGTTCATAAGAACTCGTTGAAACATGTCCACGCGCGTTCCTGATCGAATTGGAATTGGAAGTGTTGGTTTTTAAGGAGAGGGGAAAATCAGAGTACCCGGAGAAAAACCTCTCGAAGCAAAGGAGAGAATCAACAACAAACTCAACCCACATATGGAAAACATGTGGCGTCGACGCCATTATTAGAACCCAGGCCACATTGGTTGGAGGCGAGTGCTCTCAGCAGCTCTCACCAATGCGCCACCCTTTCTCCCTAACCGTGCTAACTATAGATCGTTTTCACATGACGTCACGGCGGCCATATTTGTGTACACAAACATGGCCGCCGATTCATTGTTTTGTACAAAAAAAATTCTGTGGGAATTGAACTCTTTTCACATGTTAATACCTTCTTTTTTTCCAAGCAATTTGCAAAGCTGCTCACCACGAGACTGAAAACGATCTATACACAATAGCTACTTAGCAAACAAGGGGGGATTCTGTAGTTTGTTCCCTCACCGAGCCAACCCAACAAATTTTTAGAAACTGTCTTTTTATACAATTACGAAAATTTAGAAATTGCTGGTGGCGTCGATTCTTCGTCTAATAGCGGACATAACAAAGCAAACATTATACGGTGCATGAGCTCTCACATGGCCACTTGATCTGTTTTTAATGCCTCCCAATAAAAATTTATTTTTTCGGTCACTTACTCAGTCTCGTTTTTCAATTTAGCAAGTTCAAACAAATGACACCATTGCTCTATTGTAATGTTCCATCTACACACAGCCCACACATTCTTGATTCCCTATGGCAAACGGTTTGTCCTCGGAAAGTTAGGTCCTGAGTTTCTTAGGCTCCGACGACCAGTGAGTTTAGTAAGCAAACTCACTTTTTGGTGGTAATGCTAACCTTAGCAATTTTTTTATGCAGTAAAAACCCTACGTATATGTGTCATTGATCAAGCGTGATGCTGGATTTTGACCAAATTATTTTTGCATTTTCACGGACCGTCTTCGCTTCCATTGCCAGCGAAATTTCGCTTCATGTTGCCCCTTTGCTATCTCTCCTCTTCCAGATAACAAAGTAAGAATGTCAGACATTGAACATGAAATGGATGCGCGGTTTGAGGTATAGTATAAAAGTCGTCCTTCTTCAACAATCCTTTTTATTGTTTTTTTTTTTAACCAAATCTATTCAATGTTCAGAAAATCTCCCACAAATTTAAATTTTTGAGTAGATTCATATCATCAAGAACTCCTTTATTGTTTCCTTTATAATTGTTTCATTAGGAGTTGGCAGAAATTATAAGGAACGAAAGCAAGCCAGGAACTCGAAAGAATTCTTCAAAACATAGAAATGATAAAGAGGAAAAGTTCAAGGCACGTACGTAGCTTCAGTTTGGACAAACCGATCATAACTTTGTAAGGGCAAAATTTCAAGCCCCATAACCCTGTAAATTTTTTTTTGGGCCAAGCCGTATCTTGCATGCCTCAGCAAACGAAATAGCTACGACAAAAAGATGCATGGAAAATAAAGAGCGTCAAAGCTAGTCTCCCATTTTCAGAAGCCGTGTTCTCCTTAGAAGCTCATTCATTGGTTCTTTTCCTCTGTTCCAACCCTCGTACTCACTTTTTTACATTGATATTTTAATTTCCAGGAACCAGAAACACTCAAGAATACAAGACCTGCTGCAGAAAATAGAAACGAAGCCAACGAAGACATTGTAAGATTCAAATGAATGATACATTTCTTCATCAATGCATTTCTAAAGGATAAACTTTGCAATTGGGCAATTGGGCATCTTTAAGTTGAAAGACAGGGTCATTGTGTGTTGAATTGCACTTTGGAAATGTTTGTATAACATATTTCGACACACTTTGCTGCGTAACTTTGTAAAATTCAATCAAAGAAGCCATGGCGTCCATGAAACAGTCCCATAGTGCAATACGACACCACATGACTCAGTCTCTCCCTCAGCTACCAAATAGCGAATGAATTAAATTTTTCTTTCCCCCGCTCCCAATATAGGGTCTGCTTAGTATAGGTTTGACTTTATTTCATTTTTCTTTTCTTTATACCACAGGGAAATAAAACAAGTTATAATCAAAATGAAAGTGGAGGTCATAAAGAACCATCCAAGGACGTAGAAGAAGTATGTCACCGAATTACTCTGGCTCATTGTTCGGATTAATACCATGCGCAGGGCCTGTCTTTAATGGAATTTTCAAAAACAGCCTGTTGGCCGTTCAGCTTGAAAAACTCCCCAGCGTTTTTGGTAGAATTCTACTAAATTAAACAAAACATCCTTAAAAGCTAAATACAAATAATGGACTTTAATTCTTGTTACCTTTCCGAATTCTTCATCACTCGAGATAATAATTATCCTACGTTAATGATAAAAAGTTATCTGTTTTTCAGAAAACAGCAGACTCTTCGAATGACGACCCTCCAAGCCAACAAAAGATAACAGAGGAAGAAAATGAAAAAGTAAGTATGCCGTCTGGTGGGGGCGAAAACAATTACATGCGCTTGTTGGTAGTTTCTCGGTGTTGGGGATTGTGCAAACCAAATGATATCGTAAAAAAGATCGAAAATACACTGACCCAACAACAACAAAAAAAACAATACTTAGCCAACAATGTCTTTCGCAACACACCCACTTGGTCAAGTCATTAGTTTGTGACGGAGTCCTGAATGGAATGTATTTCTTTGTAGAATTCGTTCCTCAACAAGTATTTGAGTGAAAGTGAATCAGAAGACGAGGAAATACTGCAAGAACCTGAGAAAAAGAAAAATGAGAAGCAAGCAGAAAGGTACAACCCTTGACTTCCGGAGTAGAACCTAAGATAAAAATGGTACCCGTAGAAAAACTTTTTTCACAATTGATATCTCATCGAGCTGTCTAAGTATTTTAAGAAACAAAATTTTTGAAACCTTAACCTAGTTGCCTAAGCATTAGAAGTTAGCTTTAGCGCAATTTGCTTATTTGTCAAAGGCGTGATTTGAAACACCTTAGAATACTCAAAATCGCTTTGTGCAAATAGAAGCGTCCTGAGTGTCGACGCTTGATTGGAGGCACGAACCAGGAGGCAATTAAGGGAAGTTTGAAAAGTTGTTGGCAAGATATATCGATGAGGCCTTCGAATCCTGACCTTTTCTAACAAAAAAGCTGTTCATTTCACTCTCCTCAGCTGTATCCTGTTAAAGACATGAGAGGCCTAGGCCAAATGTCGAACTTTTCATGAGACGAACCAAACTTAGTTAAGGTAAGTTCGTCTGAATGAGTTTGGATCGTCTATATCCGTTTGCGTTAGACAAAGAGAGGACGTCTGAACGTCTGAGTGTTTGGTTCGTCACATCAAAAAGTCGATGTTTAGCCTTGACCAGGCTTTTTTTTTTGCCCTATTCATTTCATTTCACGTACCTTGGTTAAGAATGCCAGTAGGCTCGATTACCAGCCGCTGTTCGGGAAATGAGCCCGCCCTCCTTGGTCGAACAGCTCGGGGAGGACCGAGAGAGCAGCGGAAATCGAGGAAACCGAGACTGCCAGTCCAGGAAAGATACCCTGTTCAAGACGTTAAATAGTGAAATTATGCACCCTGTATACGATACCATGATTAGGCCAAACAAGGGATCGCTCTCAAGGAAACGATAGACTAAGGGCTTAGGTTTGCAAGGCCATGTGATCCAAACAAGCGTATTAAGAGTATACAGCGTTTTCATTCACCTGGCCAGCGTCTATGCAAATTCATTGGAACAATTGGAACATAAGAAAAGAGTTCATCTCCCACAGGATTGGTTTCGAAAACCAACATGGACGCCATTCCATTGTTTTGGAACACCAATATGGCCGCCGTGACGTCATGTGAAAACGCTCTGTAGGGGAAACCTCAATCCTAGATTAAATTTGTTTCAATCAACTTTTTTTTTGTTTTAGCAGGAAGCCTGATAAAAAGAAAGTAAAAAAGAAAACTAAGAACTCAAAACCACCAACTCAGCGAAAGCCTTCTCAGAGGTGGAAAAACTTAAGACTTGTTGTTGGAGATGACAGGTATGAACACTTTTAAAGATAATTCCAAATTGGCAGATCTAGCCTTCTCCGCCTGTACTACCGGTGCCTAATACAATGAAAGGGGCTAATCTAAATAAAGTACCGTAGAACTTCAGCACTGGTAACTTATTATATTTAACACTATTGCAGTGAAGATGAGGAGAAACGAGTCTTAAAACCTCCACTTAAAGTAAAGCCAACCCGCAAGGAAAGGTAACGTGTATGTTTGTGGGCATATTAGTCTGTTCATAACCTTTTATTTGCTCTTAACAGATCGGCAAGCTCATGTTCGAAAATAAACACCATGGAGACGGAAGAGGGAAAGGGGGGGGGGTTGGTGACCTCTAGGGATGGGTTAATATAATAACTAAAACTGCATGTTTAAGGCAAAATAACTGCCATCTAGTTGATTCTTGGATAAAACCCACAGATTCATACAGTGAAAAGTTCAAGAAGTGATATTTCAAGAGAAGTTGAGTTCATTCTAATTACAGGCTGAACCCACGGTATGTTTAACCGCACATTCAGTATTCTAACTGCTCTGATTACATTGTTGCGTTTTGCATAAAGTCAAAATAATAGGCAAAACCTACACAGACGGTCCACAGTTTCCAGAATTCCAACCGCTCAGGCAGAGAGCTCGACAGAGAGCGAGGAGGAAGATGACCGAGTGTTAGACGGCAAAGTGGTGAGCCCGCAATAGATAAGACCAGCATTAGTCGCTTTTCGGTGCAGCATACGTGCGCTCGAGCGTAGCCTTTGAAGTAAAAAGATATCTTCAATCGGCTAACTTCTAAAATATAATAGCATAGGCTAATCGAGGCAATATGGTTATCTATCCCTCCGACAAATTTTGGAAGTCACGTGACTGTACGTCCGCCCGCCCGCCCGCCCGCCCAAGTTTGTTGTTTGAATCTTTTATAAGTCAATCAACGGGAGCTTCACTTTCAACTTTAGTTGTAGTACTTGCCTCGAAGTTTAAGACTGCTATTTGCAATTGGAAATGCAATAGGTATATATAGGACAATATTATTGAGACCTATTACAAATAAATTTTTTAAAGAGGTGTTTTTATACAGAAAAAACGTATTGGGGTGCACTAGACTTAGTAAACGCTGCTATACTAGTACAAAACATGAGTTAAAAATTTCGCTGTTGAAGAGTGGGTACGAAAAGAGTTGAATGAAATCCAACTAGGTCAGATCAATGTTGCCAACTCAGATTGGGCCTTTATGGGGAAAACTGCTCAAAAGAATACATGGATAAGTGATGATTACTATATTTTCTTGCAGAGTGAACTGATGATTTTTTTTTTGGTTTGTGCAGGGTGTGGCTGACCTTCCTTCGGAGTATTGGCAAATACAAAGGCTCATCAAGTTTTTGAAGGTGAGAGTGTCATCGCTGATGAAACAGTGAATAAGGGAACCAACTGACAACTCGAAGCAAGAAAAGGCCACAAAAAAGGGAAAACAGTACGGCATAATGGCGTGGAAGTGGCGCATGAAGAAAGACTGCTGGCTTTTTCATGGTCGTACGGATGTTGGAGACGAGTGCTGAGCGAAAGGGTCATGGAAAGGCAAAATTCCCCTCTTCGGATCCCTCCCTTCGCTCTCGCTTTCCTGAATAGATAACTAAATATCCCCGGATAAGCGATCTTCTGGAGAGAAAGCAGTGGCGAGAGTAACTTGAAAGACCCACTCAAGTTAAACCTGTTTAAATCCTGTTTTTTCTAGATTGGTAACCAAGTCGCCACGGTGATTACACTGTGTTCTCTGACTGACTTTAACTTAACTCAGGAGATGACACAGATGGCCATCAGAGATGTTAATGGACTAGCAGTTCTTGTCAATATTCTTAGAACTGATCACATTAATTGCCAGGTAAAGAAAGAGGGACTTCCTCTAACAGGCTTCAAGGTGGGGCTCCTTCCGAAGAGGTTTTCACTCAAGCAAGGGGGAGGGGGGGGATTACACGAGATGAGGTATAGACAAGGGCAAAAAAACCCCTCCCATTTAGGCATTCAATAAGGACCTTTCAAGGTGTCTGGAATAAACCCCCCCCTCCCCCCCTAAACACTGATCAGTTCAGGCTAGTTTCTCAACGCTTTCTCAGGGCAGAAAAGGTATACAACATTGTCAAGCTGTAGGAAAAAGAAAAGATTACCACTTCTGTGGAAGGGATATAAAAGGGCTACCGTCAGGAGAAATTGTTATATAGAGAAGTGTGGACAGTGGCCTGTGATGGAGTACATCCGCGCAACAATTTGTTGTCTACCCCGCCGCGCCCCTTCCCCCGATGACCAGATACTTCCATGGTTTACTTGTTTATGTATCCCTACATTTTAGTAATGTAACCATCATTCATATAATACCTATACCCCGCCCCCTCCCCCCCTGATGACCGGATACTTCCATCGTTTGCTTGGTTATGTCTCCCTACATTTTACTAATATAACCTAGTATCATCTATCATCTATATAATAAAAAAATATCTGTGCTGAGACTTTACAGGTAAGTAGTAAATGCTTATTTCCTCTTATCAAAGTCCCGGCAGACTGTTTTAAAGACATCGCGATTGTCAATAAGCACATAGTCGGCAATGGAGGTCGAGGATAAAACAACTGAGTGTTTTATCAGGGTGTAATTCAGCTCTTTTGTTTTTGCTCAATAGATTGGTGCGTTAAAGGTTCTTCGACAGTTAACATTAAACAGTAAATACAACAGGCGAGCAGTAATTAACATAGGAGGTAATTATAATTTACAGTCTTGGTCTTGATATTTCCCTTCCTGCCTCCAATTTCCCTCCCATAATTTCATACCTTCCTTCAGGGACGAGATTGATCCTTCCCGTCCTTTCTTCCTTTAATTTTCCTCCCTTTCTCCTTTTCTTCTTCTTCAGTCCTTTCCTTTTCCAAAACTGTCTTCCTTTTTTCTCAGCCCCTTTCGTGTTTATTTTTCCATCCTTCCCTGCATTCACTTTCATCTTTCCTTAAATTTCCCTTCTTCCTACCCGTTCTCCCATATCCCGCAGCTTTCCTTATACTGTCGAACCTCCCGTAAGCGACCGCCCAAAATGCAAAGACTTAGGGGTCGTTTACGGGAGGTGGTCGCTTACAAGAATCGAATCACAGGGAACCTCTTCCGAGAAGTGGTCTGGGCACATCTTCTTTATGGAAGATAAGTTATTGCATGTAGTTTCTAAGTTACGCCATGTGTAGTTCCATTTTGTTAAAAAAATTCTTCGTATATTCAAAGTAGCACAGTGCGCACAGCGAACATAGACATCAGAGAATGCGTCAATTTGTCGCTTACAAGAGGTTAAAAGCCATAGAAAATCATCAACCTTTCAGGCCCAAAAAGTGGTCGCGGTCGCTTACAGAAGGTGGTCGTTTACTAGAAGTTCAACTGTAAGGCTTTGACTGGGAAAGTTTCGGTGTTTTGGATAGGCAGTCGCCGCGATGGGAGGTGGTCGCTTGCGAGAAGTGGTTGCACACGGAGGTTCGACTGCATTCTTCTACTCCGTTCCACATTCCTTCCTTCCTTCTTTTAATTGTATGCCTTAATATAATATCTAATTCGAATTTCATCACCTTTAAGTTGTTCAGATTTTGATTGATCTCATCGACGATGCTCGTGCACAGGGAGTCCAAGGTTTAGCTGCAGCTAATCTGTCGAACATGGCCAAGTCGAGTTTGGGACGAAATATTCTAAAGCGATATGACGGGATACAAAAACTCGTGAGTATTCGAGGAGATGGGAAACTTTTTGCCAGAAATTTGCCTAACCGAAGGTTTTAAAGAGATTTATGTTAATTATCTTTTGCACACACGTTTATTCTTTCCAACCAAGTCTTCCGAGGGCTGTCCAATATACCTGTCCTGTAATAAAGGTCCGTATAAACCATGTTACGATCCATGTTTGTATGGACCGAGAAATTCTGTTAGAGCGTGCTTTTTGCGCTTTATGGGTTATAGAACAAGAAATGTTACATTTGGAACGTGCTTGATTCGCTTCATATAACGAGGAATTTACGATCCATATCATTCAAGTACTCCATATGTACCGCACGAACCGAATCACATTAGGGCCATTTATACGAGGAAAAATAAGACGCGAACTGTATCATTTATACGAGCATGTCTTATCTAATAAGACGCGTCTTAGCTAAGCAGCATCTTATTTTAGACGAAATGTGCCGTTTATACGGAAAGTTCGCGTCTTATGTAAGACGCGTCTTATTTTGCCTCCTATAAATGGCCCTATTGTGCCCTGATGTAATGACGCATGAAATGCACGCTTCGTAAGAGTGCTCAGAATATCGACTGGTAACGATGCTAAAAGTTTGTACAGAGGTACGATCCGCGGTCAACGCGGCTTTTAACGGTCCGTAACAGTGCGGCAGTACAGTATTAGACCTGACTGGAGTATTCAACAGCTTCAGCAGATTTTGCTTAAGGCCCCTTACACACATGTAACCGAAGAATTTTCATCAGCACACTGTTTCTGTTTCTTTCTTTCTTTTGTTGTTGTAGGTGGATTTACTAAACTACGAAGATGGAAAGGGACGCCGCCCAGACAACCAGTCACCAGGCCAAGACGGGGCAAAACTAGAAGTTGCGCGTAATGCCGCGCTTGCGCTGTGGAGTTGCAGTAAGAGCACGCGCAGTAGGTTTGTGACGTAACTAGCCATTACCATTTTTGGGCATCAGTTTCGTGCGTTGTGATTGGTTTAGGCCAAAACCAAAATAAAGTAAATGTCGCCGAGAGGACTGAAGATGAATATAAGTTAAATAGTTTTTTTTAATGGAGGCCATATTGCAACACATTGATGATGCTTGTTGCACTTTAAGTTCTTCAGTATCGTCTATCACGCTACCAATAGTCGATCATTTTAGCGACACCCACAAAGACATAGCGCCGATAATATTTAGCAATTGTCTCCCTTTCAGTTCCGGTAACATTTTGTCTGACGTTGACGTCGTGGTTTCAGAGCATTCTCTTTACTATTTTCGCACGACAACGAGTGATTGAACCGGAGAGACAAAAGTTTATCCTTGTTATTCTGACTGCAATCAGTAGCCCTTATATTTACCGAGACCGCGGCAAGCATCTTATTTTTCTTTTGAGTCACAGTAGATCGAGAGCACGCGTGAGGGCAAGCGGCAAAGCAGCGAGGAACGAAGGCAGAAGCCCTTCCATAATTTTACTTTTCACTCGCCACACTCGATCACCCAAACTGTCTAAGATGCACAATGTAGAAGTGTACTGTACTCTTATATGAAGATCTCGAATTGCTTCTGATGCAGGTCAGCAATTTACAAGGCTGGCAGCGTGCCTTTACTCGCTAAACTCATCAAGCTGGACAAAGAGGAATTTCTTATTCCTATAGTAGGCTTAGCACAAGAGTGCGCTGTGGAGGTAAACTATAAAGTAAATGGACTGTAGAGTACCCTAAGTCAGCTCCGTCTGGAATTAAGTTTGGTGTTTCGCTTGGTGTAACGATTCATTTAGACACAAAGAACAACTTCCTTTGGTTATTTTTCACGCCAGGGAGGTCAGCATTTATTTTTCTCTTTGCTTGCTTTGCACGAGCGGATTTAGGGGAGGGCTGAGGGGGAAAAATAAAAAGTATCCAAAATAGAGCTTTTAAGTGTCCCGGCCACCCCTTTCCGAATTTTCTGGATTCGTCCCTACTTTAGCTCTGTTTTAGATATCAGGTTACCCGAGTTAGCAAAGACAGATATCTAACAATTCAACACCTATTTCTTAAATACCCTCCTTGCATACGCAAATAGCATCGTATTACTAAAAGGCATTGTATATAAGGAAGTAGATGATAATAATAAATTAGCCCAGTGGGCGTGGTGAGGCGTGGGGGACGAATTGATACCCGAGCTACATTGCATCATCCGCTCTTTTTCTTCCATAGTCTCGTTTCAGGGAAGCTTTTTACAAGGAGAATATAATAGCAGCTATTGTTCGTCGGCTGCAAACAGATAATGAAGAGCTCCAAGGTTACTGTGCCAATGCAATATTTAAGGTGAGTTGGCGACCACTACATTGACTGAGTCAGGTTTTCCCACTACCCTCCCCTCCCCTCTAACATTAATGATTCAAAACGAGATCATTATCCCAATACTTTTACATTCATGTAGTAGACGCATTGGGGATTTTCCTGTACTATTTTAGAAATGTTTTTGGTGCTCAATTCCGATATTCTCCTGACATTTTGCTTAAGTAACCAATTATATCATAGGGAGATATTAGATGCTGATCACTAATAGAGTTGCAAGAAGATAATGTTAGACCCGTGTCGATAATTTTCCCGCCTTTTATCGCAGTGTGCAGAGGACGAAGGCACGAGGAAAGCTGTGTATGACTGCGGAGGACTGGACACACTCGTTTCTCTCCTCTCTCGCCAAGATAACAAGAAGCTGTTGGCCGCAGTGACAGGAGCTATTTGGAAATGTGCAATAAGTGAATACAACGTAAAAAGGTATTAATGCTGTACTGATACACTGGAAGGGGCCAAGAGAGTAGAAAATGGAACATATTATTGAGGACTTGACCTGGTGTTTTCTCAAGTTTAGCGGGCTTCCAAGAATAGCATGTCTACACGCAAAACGACCTATTTATGTCAGAACTTGAATTAGTAAACCGAATTCCACTAGAGAAGTAACCAGTTGTCTGCCTTCATCCTCTTATTTTCGTGCAGTGTATCCATCACCGCGCTTAAACGGAAAAATTAATTTCATTACAATAGTTTAGATAAGATTTAACTTTCAGAGCACCAAGTGTAAATTTGGCTAGAGCTGAATTTCAAAGAAATGCAAAGTCTTCGTCACCACCCGCTTGCTGGAGGAAATAAGTTGATTTTGGGCCGTTCTCATGTTCCGTCCAGGTGGGACGGATGTACCTGTAGGAACCCACTTTTTCTTTCCTTTCTCTTATTCTCTTTCGTTTTCATTTCCATGTTCAGTATTTCGCTTATTCATGCGTCGTCTTGAACGTTATGTCATAAGCTGAAGACTAACCGTTATTCTCTCACTCAGACTGATGGAAGTCAACGTTGTGGAGACACTTGTTAAACTTCTTCAAGCAGAAGAAGAAACAGAGGAACTTCCGGAGCAGGTTAGTTGCGCAGATTGTCCAAAGTCACTCTTAACTACCTTGACTCTAATGTTAACAAAACAGAAATGCAAAAAGTAATTACCTTCTTATTCTTAAAAGCTTTCAAACGATATATTGTAAGATGATGAAATGTCATATACTCCCTTTTAAACTTGTTTTTTGAATTAACTATCGTGCGCTGTAACTGCACAATCTCCAGTTTTAACCAGAAATCCATGGCATGGTTTGCATCTCCTCTAGACTTCCGCTATATTCATTGCCCCCTTTGACCTGCATCTCCTTTGTTATGAGGGTTAGAAGTATTGCACTGCTCAAGTTATAACTGCGTGGAGAACTGAGTTTTGGAAAAGAGGTCAGTAACCTTCAGTGCTGGATTCTCTAATACCCGGATTACCCCCAGCCATTTGCTGGAAGACTGGCACTAACAAGCCGCATAAAACCATTTATTCCCTAGGTGGGATGAATAAATCTCCTTTGGTAAAACTATCGATAACACTTGTAAGTTGTAACAGTTTACTCGTCCCCTACTCATACGCTCCATTTGACTTTCTATCGTTCTCATAAACCCGATTAAGGTTCAACTTCATATCGTCGGAGCCATCGCAGAACTTGCCAAAGATCCCAGAGCTCCACTGGAAATGCTACGATGCAAAGGCTGCAGGACTTTAGTTGACATTCTCAATATACCAAATGAGGAACTCACCAGTACAGCGGCAAGAGCTATTGCCGCATGCGCGGTAGAAGTTGGCTGTCGATCGTAAGTGGTGATGGTGCTATTCTTATTTTTTCAAAAATTATTCATGTCCTTGGTGTTTTCTTTTTAAAAAAGATGATGCTGTGGTTTTCACCGTCCCACAGAAAAGACTCAGAAAAATTTTCAATCTTTGGAAATAAAAAATCGTATAGCCCAAGCACTCAACTCTTGGGTTACGATCGATTTAAAGAAAGTTAACAATTTGTTTGAAATTAGCCTTTCCATACAAAAAAGTCAAATTTACAAAACTTTAGCACGAAACAGGTTAGTAAAGTAAAAAAGAAGCAATTCCCACGTTTTATGTTACGAATTTACAGGAATATACGTATCGGAATTCAGTAAGTCAAGCTCGCGTTATTAGAAAACGATCATTTTTTCCCCTTTATCTGGTTACTTTTAATTATTACAACAAACACATCGCACAGCTTTTAAAATTACAAGTGATTTTTGATCTGAACTAGCTCAGTTACATCTAAGTATACTTTATTTCAGAGTATTCAATAGATTGGAAGGACTAAGACTTCTGTGGTCCCTAATGAAGTCAAGAAACAACAAGGCGAGTAGTATATGACTATATATGATATATTGTGCTAAACTGACATTAAGTTACTTTTCGCAAACGATCAAATAGCGCTAATTTGTCAGGTCAGTCTCTTTAATACTTGTAGATTATTACAGAAGATTTAAAGAAAACTAAAGGTTTTGCTTCATCCTGCTGGTTTTTCAGGTAGTTTCCGGTGCAGCGTGGGCAGTGTACAGACTAATGCAGGACACACCGGTACGGTATACAAGAAATTCGAACCATATGCACAAATGTGATTATTGCATAGTGGGCGATTTCGCCCAAGAAACTGTCTCGACTTGCGTTTAAGCTTTGTTATAATGCGCTTAGAGTTAACAAGAAAGTTTTATGCTGGAAATGCAATCGTCCAAAAAATTAAATTGAGAAGAGTTTCAGAGTTTCCGGTTCACTAGCTACGTGAGGTCGCGTGCACAAACGTTTACTTAAACACAACGTTCAATTACATCCCTTCTCGCTTACATCAGGGTTAAAGAGATTTCTGTAATGAGATCAAATTCAAAATTATCCGTAGGAGGCCTGGGAAACAGCCCGATCTTTTGTTGGAGGACTGGATCTGAGTGTTCGTCTGCTTAAGTCACATGACTTGGAGGTAAGTTGCAACTGTTCACTTAAAAAAGTTGCCAAACTGAAGACAACCAAGAGAAGTGGTTATCCTTGCATTCTTCCACATACATTGTACTCGAAAAGAAACCATCACAGCCACTCAAATAATTTACTTCCTTTACCATTTTACGTTGCGCTTTGCGAAGGTACAAAATATCTTTTCAACTATTTCAGGTTCTTACAAGCGCTTGCGCAGTAATATCTATCGTGGCCTGTGATCGAGAGAACCTGGGCGTCATCACAGATTATGGCGTTGTTCCTCACTTGGCTCATCTTACGCATATGGTAAGAAGATAATCCGCTGTACTAATTTAAAACTGCTAGAGCAGCACATTCTTTGAGATGAATAAAGGGTTTGTTTACTTTTAGCGATTTAGCTGTTATCATCAATAGACTTACATCAGCATTGAGATTTCATCGTTGGCATTATCAATACTTCCCATCATCATCACCATTATTATCATCGTCATCGTTATCGTCATTGTTATTATCAGAGTCATAGAACCCTTTTATAAAAACTGAATCATTGGATAATGCTATTCTAGAGCTCTGACTGCCTTAGCCGTCATGGTATATGAGCCATTATACCATGCTCTCCAAATATGGCAACTGCACGCTGCTCAAAAGTAAAAACAAGCTGAGAATAGGTTGTTTTTACACATAAAGTCGGGAAGAATTCTCGATATTTTGTGGGCGTTTTTAATAAAACAATTATTCCACTCGCGCTTGTTGGATATGAGGTGATTATACCCAACTCGGCGCTACGCGCCTCTTTGGCTAACTACCATCTCATATCCAACGGGCAATCGTGGAATAGTTGTTAAATGCATCAGTATGTCTCCTTTACTATCGCCGATCGCAAGACCATCAACACTATAAACTGTAAAAGCTGTGCTGAGTTATTCCTAGTTGCCGTCGTCTTCGTAATCGTTGTTCTGTTGTTGGGTCATCAGGGATTTCGACACCCTGATTATAAACTCCCGGCTACCGTATATTCCTGAAAGCCATGTTATCGGCTATAGTGTCTGTATGCGCGGCTTATTTATCTAGAAATGCAAGGTTTCTACTGGTTTTCTGCATAGCGTTGCATCAGTAACATTTCTATCATCAGAGTTCTTTTTTTTTCATTTTTTTAGACTGACATACGTCTAAGGCGTCACCTGGCTGAAGCTATCGCCATGTGCAGCAAATGGGGCAACAATGCCAAGCGCTTCTGCGATGAAGGTGCTGTCAAACCTATGGTAGAGTACCTGGGATCACATGACATCATTGTGCAGCGGTCAGCAATGCGGGCTCTTGAACAACTAGGCAAGAATCCGGAAAGCTGCATCATAATGCACCGGAGTGGAGTCGTCAAGGTAACGAGCCTTTTTCGAAAGTATCATGACTTTTCCCTTGCTGAATAAAATATTTACAAAGCACATGCTTTCTCTGACCGATAAGGCCATAGGTAAAGCAAACGTCTAAAAAGGGTCCAGACAGAACACGGGTAGTAAAAGGAGCAACACAGCTTTTTAACTGGTTTTGTAAAACAAGTTGAACGTTTCTATTGCCCTTTTTATTGTAGCTAGCGTTACCAAGACCAATTGCATCCTTTTTTGATTTGCAGCTCTTGTTGGAGATGGTTGGTTCTGATGATGCTGGACTACAAGAAGCTGCAGCTGGATGTTTATTAAACATGCGACAGCTAGCGATGGCCAATGAACGAGCAAGACAGGACAAGGAATCGAGGAACAGTGACTCGGAAGCTTAGTGACATTCTGTATCAACACAGAATAACTAGCTATAGTGGATGTGAGTGTCTTAAAATTTGATTCGCCCGAGGATTACTCAAGGTTTTAAAAATCATTTGCACTAAAACCGTGACAAGACCTTTTTGAAAAGATGTCAAAGATTTCTTAGTCTCAATTGGTTTGATGGAAGCCTCTGGTGTTTTAGGTCTTTCAGGGAAAGAAGGAGAAATTTTAGTTTGTCATTTTGTACTCTTGGCACCAGGTTTTATATCTTTAGTTGCAATAAAAACATTCAAAACCATCTATTGTAGAATCAATTTATCATGTTAAAGGCAACTTTATATAAATTGAAAAAAACAACAACAATTATTAAAGGAACGGGGAAAATTTTTGAAGAAAAGTGGAAAAACAATTATTGAGAAAAGGCATTTGTTTGAGTAAATCCAATATGAACAGATTCCAAAAGATAAAAGAAAATATTTCTTCTACGCTATATCATGTCTAGCAACCTTACTATCAATTTGTTGATGAATTTTGTTTCTGTTGTATTAAGTGTATTTCTTTTACATTTAAGTATCTATGTTTGTGTAATGTGTGTAAGAAGCAAATAAATGAAATTTAAAAAAAAATGAATGGCTTAGTAGCTCGTGAATGCTTTTATGGAGAGCTTTCATGGTCACATAATAAAGTTCCTTCAATAAGTGCCTATTTTGAACAACTGGTACTTCGGGGCCGTTTCTGGAAAGCCCTGGTAACGTATTCTGGCCTGAAACCAAATCTTGTTTCTATTTGTTACGTACCTAGATGTATTACCTTCAAAGCTATTAAAAACTCGATCTTAAATGCAAATAAAATAGCTTTTCGGGGCTCGGTAATTATTGGGACTTTCGAGAAACGGGCCTGTACTAAGTAATTATAATTCTACACAGTACATCCAAGGCTAGGTTTACACTAGCCTTCTTCGCAAGTAACCGCTATTGTCAATGAGGAGCCTGAGAACGAGAAAAAGAGGGAAAGAAAATGTCACTTCCCGTTCTCTCTCCATTCTCCCACTCGAAAACAGAACCATTCCTGAAACAGAACAGCGCATGAAGCCTGCGGTACATTAAATTTCATTTACATTCTGGATTGGAAATCTCCGAACGCGCGACTAAACTGGGAAGTTTTATTTCGCATTTTATACTTGCGTGTAATACTGTACAAAAATGTCCAGAATGTCCCGGTGTCGTCTGTCTCGAATCCAGAAAACTCTCCTCTGGCGTAAGCCCAAGTACCTGGTAGGTACATTACAATAATAGAATATGACGCATCTACCTGTTTTTGGACAACAGCCGCTGACCACAGAGCTCAAGGAAATGCACTTGTTCTTGTGACGATCTCCCTACATTTTGAATCATGAATTTTCCTATTTCAAATGATCTTACTCCCCAGAAATACTTTATTGACAGATATGGATCAATCGAAAAACTAATCGATAAGGCCAAAAATGGCGAAATCCATGCCCAAGCAGATTTGGGATGGGCTTACTCGAAGGGTTTTGGCGATCTCTTGCCGGAAGATAACGACAAAGCAATCGGATGGCTTAGCACTGCCATAGATAAGGGTTATGAATTTCCTAACGCCCTAGGAAAACTTGGGGAGTTATTAGATCGGAAAGGAACGATACGACATCAGCAGAAGGCTTATGAGATGTACCACAGGGCAGCGAAACTGGGGTGCAGAAGTTCACAACTCAATCTTGCAGAAATGTATAGATGTGGAGTTGAAGGAGTCGTGAACGAAGACCTAAAAGAGGCTTTTAAATGGTATAAAATGGCCGCTGGTGAAGGTGAGAGTGATTATGAACTGGGGCCAATGCATAAATTATTGTCTGGTACGGTGAAAAAACTCGACAACGCCTCAAAGCCAAGGGCTCTGAAATTTTTGTACAAGTATTATCTTGAGGGTGAATGTCCGGAAGGCCGTCCACAGCCAACTAAAGCAATTTATTATTTGACAAGAGCAGCTGAAATAGGCGATACTGAGGCTCAATGTACCTTGGGGCAGATATACTTAAACGGAAGTTGTGAGCAAATCAAGGACGTTTCAAGAGCAAGAAGGTGGCTCAAGAAAGCTTCTGCAAATGGTGATGTTGTGGCAAAACAGGTGGGTCTATAAAATAATTATAGATCTTACAAGGGAATGAGTCAGTTTTTAAAAAACGTTTTCAACTGGAACTCACACTGTCTTGTAAATTGCACCTGTAGAAGTTTTATTAAAATTGAGCCAAATGATTGTTACACTTATTGCAAAAAAGAGTTGATCTTTATGATTGATATGGGTACCAGTCTTGACAGAATAGAAGTCTATCACACTGATTGTCATTGCAAACAATGTCAATTTATATGAAATGGCAAAGGTGCTAACCTCTGCAGGTACAGCTGCAAGTACTTGGGGATGTTCTCTTTAGCACTACCCTGTTTATTGCACCACCTACCATCTCCAGCACACCTCATCGCTAAGGCAATTACCTACACCACCATCATGTCAAACACAACTGACTACTTAACTTGACTTAATTGGCCACATTTCCCAAATAGTTTGTTTTTCCAGTTTACTGAACATTGATTTGCTGGACTTTTGTTTCTTTGGCTGTAATGACAAAAGACAAGATGAATAAAATTATGCTAAAAGAAGCTATTTCAGGAATTTTAATTTTTCAGTGGATGGTTTCTACCTTACCCTGGTCCCAGAGGCTTTTTTGTGCTTTTCCATGATAGGGAACAAGCAGCAACTCATTTTGACTGCGTTGTGGCTTGTTCTCTCCCAAGGGCAGAAAAATCATGATAAACCTCCGAGACTAAGCTTGACCTCTGCCACTCTCTCTCCCTCTGCTGAAAGAATAGTCTTTTTGGGGGAGAAGTGCAGGCCCATTTTCCCAAACAACAGCTGGTAGTCAAACCTACTCATACAGCTGTAGACCAGGATAGGATTTTTGGAGAACGGCTTATGGTAATTCTCTTGTTTTGCACTGCACATCACCTAGTGTGCATAACATTGTGACTTCAATGGTGGCAGCAAACTCCACTGGTCGCCTAAAAAGAGGTTATAATGATTTTGATAATTCTACCCAGCTAAAAAGGTGTTTTTCTTGAAACTCGCCCCAGTCCACTTGTGCAAAATGATCATTTGAAGGCGAAGTTGTCCCTTTGTTGTCATTTGCGATGAAATGAAACCAGTGACCCCCCTTTTTTTGTGTGTTTTTTACTTGTTATGGCAACACAAAAAAATTATATATATTAAGAAGAAAAAAAATCTGGATAGTAGAAGTTATATTTTTTAGGTATAAATGATGTGAATTTCCACATTTACAGCAACAGAGAGGTACAAGAAGATCTTAAAACTGTCCCTTTTCTCTACATTTTTTCAAAATCAGGTAATTTGAGGTCACTTTACTGAAAGAGCACAGCCCAGACAAACAAAAGGGCTTAAGGTGTTAGTAAGATTCATAGTTCTTGTTATAAAATGTTTGACGGTTGTTTAAGTTGTTTCCCATGCAGCAAGGAAAAAACACTCAGAATTATGGGAATGCACGGCACAAACAAGCATGGTGACCCCATATTTTGAATGTCCTATATATGTCTGACATTTGTGCCGAGTTGGAAATATATCTGGATAGTGCATCATTTTCAAGGGAATGACCTTAAATGTAAGCCCATTCTCCTTAGTAACTTAAAAGTTGATTATATCACTCACAACGTGGACACTGAGAGATCTGTTATGCATCAAGGATTATAATATTCAATCGACGACAAAATTAGTTAAGACATTGACTTAAAAGGGGAAAATAAAGCTTCTCCTCCCCCATTCCCTCCATGCACTTTTGTGCCACTTATCGAGCTACCTGTAGCAAACAACAGACACCCCAACTTTGAATGTAGGGGAAAGAGGAGGGGGTGTGGATTCTTTCGCTCTCTAAAGTTACTCTTTTTGAGTACAATGTCTCAACAATTTTGTCACTGATTGATTGGTAGCAACAACACTAACAAGGCAAAAACTGTAACTGCTATGGATTTCATAACTCCAAGGGCTCCCTGACACAATGGCACAAGGTACAAGGGCTGTTGATCCAAACATCTCCCTTTTACCATTTCATTATTGATTCAACAAGCAGCAGGGCATCACTGGAATTTCACTTTCTGTAGGCACCAATGCTGGAGGACTGTGTTCAAGCCTTACTTCTGCACTGTTTCCTTAGACAAGAAACTTTGCCCCACTATGTCCCTCTTCATCTGACACCAAAATAAAATAACCATGACATACTGCTGGGCTACCCTGCAATGGAGTTCTATACCATCTAGGGAAAAATAGGTAATACTTCTGGGTGCTATATGCCACAGAATCTGGTGTGCCTCCCATGTAGGCCTCTTTGGCTTGTGTTTGCCTGGGGTTTGCCTCTATTACCTTATGGGGGCCTATCAAAGGCCTACCAAATAGTGAAAATTAATTGTCAAATTGGCAACTTGAATTCTAAATCACGCCTTACCAGTGCTACCCGGTCATCCAGAACAAGAATGTTTTCCTGCAAAACAGATCACTTTTCAATAGCCAAGGGCCAAAGCAAATCACCTTTGAGTTTATTAATTTTTACTCTAAAGAAGACAATGGTGCAATGGCCATAGGCAAGCACAATTTCAGAGCTGCCTTACCAATGACAATCTTGAATTACAGTCTTGTTTTTCTTTAAAGCCCAGCTCAATACTGGTTCTCATAGGCTACTAACAACCTACCTGGCACATAGATTCCTGCTCTACCTGGGACACTGTTTTGAAATATCATGAGAATCTTATGCCTCCCACAACAGGAACCATCATGCCCACATGCCTGTGTAGTTCACTGAAGGTCCACGTCCCAGGCATGTTGGTGGTTTTTTCCAGCACATTTATTATCTGGAAATAATTATTTAACTATGAACTTTATTGTAGTTGGTCACAACACAATCAGCATTCCTGAAATATTTTAGGTGTTCACACTTTTCTGAGTTTGACTGTCTGAAAGTGAGAATGTAATTCATTACATTTCATGCATGTTTTAAATTTTTAAGAGGGACACGTAGCAGGTTACCCTGGGTTCCAGAGGTTTTTTTTTCTTATCTAACTATCTAATTCCTGATAGTTCTCGGCGAAGTCTGAACAGCGTTTTGGGAGCTTTATAAAACCGTGAGCACGGTTTATTTCATCTTACGTATTTTTTGCCAAGTCCTTAGGCCTCATTATTCCGCGCGGCCAAAGAGTTTCGGGTCACGTGGTCCAAGCAAAAATGTGAGGCCGTTTCCCGCCCGTTCGCCTCGGATACGTCACCGAAACGAATTGACCGATAGGGACTGGGAAAACGCCGTACAGAGACTAAGCAAAGGTATTTCGAGAACGGACCTCTGGAGCCAGGGTAGTAGAAGGTACATCTTTACCATGTATTTTCTGATAAATGTCAATGACACTGGCAAGTGTAGTGCACTTCGTTGGAAGCTGGTTGGTAGCATATGATGGTAGCATATGATAGTTGGTTGGTAGCATACTGGGCTTTACTTGTAGACATTGTGAATGTTTGTACATAAATCTGTATCGGTGATGGGGATCCAAACTTCCTTGTTGGTTTCAGAAGAGTGGCATATGTTTAATGAGGACAATCTACTGCTAGACACCTAATTGGATTTCCAGGGTTATATTTTTGTAATGCATACTATCTGCTATAGAGCGTTTTCACTCACGTGGCTAGCATCCATGCAAATTTATCGGAACAAAAGAAGGCGTTTACATATAAAGAGTTCAACTCCCAAAGGATTGGTTAGGAACACCAACGTGACCGCCGTTTCGTTGTTGTGAACACCATTCTCGCCGCCGTGACGTCATATGAAAACGCTCTATAGCATAATTTTGTGTAAAAACATATTATCGCTAACTCTTACAATAACGCTGTGAAATCTGCCAGGTGGTTACACAGAAATTGAAGAATGAATAATTATAACAAATATATGATTCTCATACCTCATGTCGGATATACACGTGACCCCAAAAGGTATTTCCGCTAAACGTTTATCTCACTGTCTTAGTTGTGACAGTTGCATTTATGGCTCCACTCGTGCTTATTTGGTAAAAGTAAGCGAGCCTTTATATGTGTGTTGTTTATTTTTATTTTTTCAGCTTCTTAATAAATGCGAAGAAGCGGAAGATAAACAGCATACTGCATCAGAACCAAAAACAGAGGCCTTGGTTCAGTCATTTGAAATCATGGGTGAGAAACTTAAGCAAAGATCAGAGGCACAGCAACACCCATTAGTGATCACCGAGCCTACTGCATTTTCAGAGGAAATGCTTAGTGCGTTTCAGTGGTCCCCAACGGCACGGATTTATCTTCAGGCTTTCAGACTGGTAAACCAGGGGCTTGAAATTCTGATCAAGAGTAACTTTGCTGACGAAAGAGGGATTTCTCTTTTAGCTCGTGGGTATTTGAATGAAAATTCTATACTTCAAGCTTTTCCTCTTATAATGCCTTTTTTGCCTAAACTTTATCAACTTTGTGAGAAAAGTATGGAAAATAAACCAAGTTTCTTTGAAGGCCTCGTCGTAGCTTTTGCTTTCCACTTTTACGAGTTGAAACAGACACAAGAGACGTGGAAAACTGATCTTAAAAAGGTGATGTGTATGAGAAATTTGATTCGTTTCATCGAAGAAGCCGAACCCAACAACCTTCCAATTGAAGACTGTTTTAGGTTTGACCAAAGCTACCGCAGTTGGCTTCACGTTTTGTATGAGTTCTTGGGATGCCTCTATGTCGTTGCAGAAAACTATGAAACAGCGGCTGAAGCTTTTGAAAGTTCCCTGAAGTGCTGTCCAACCTACTTTCCAAGCAAAAGAGGCCTTGGGCTTTGTTTGGTATCTCTGTATTCCTCCAGAGTTTGGGATAAAAGAAAGGACTCCGCACCCCCGGAATTGCGCAAGTACTTTCCGAGTGTCGAACGAGTCGTAGAGGAGAGACAAGTTTCTAAATACAGATCCTGGACCACTGAAAAGCTAGGAGGCACTGCCAGAAAAATATTGGAAGAATTTCGGGCGGAAGCACCTTCGTGTTGGAAAACATACCCAAATGTTTGCTATTACCTTGCCCAGCTTGCTTTTGTGAACTTTGACATGAAGGAGTTAAAAAGGTATTATGAACTTGGCCAAGATGCTGAGGAAAAAAGGTTGCCTTTCTTAGACGCTGTTGATCTGCCTTGGAAGGATATGCTGTCCTCAGTCTATCAGCTAATTGCTCATTTACCAGAACCCCCCAGATGTGGCAATAAAGCTTGCACTAAAAATATCAAGGAAACTGATCTAAAGTCCTGCGGTGGCTGTAGGACGAAAAAATACTGCAGCAAGTGAGTAGCAAATTTAAACACAAAAATAAAACACTCAGCAATCCATACCTCGCCAAAAATTATCCTCGGCCGTAGTGTATTTGCTTTGATTAAGTATTATTATAACTTACGCTATTCTGGATTTTTTTAGTGCATTGTATACAGGAAAAACCCGCGATTAAGAACCTGCTAGGGCAAAATTTGCCAGTTAGGCCCCCTTCATACAATAACCTGTTAAGCCTAAAATTTAAAACAGGTTTCATTTTGTATAATTAGGCAAATAACAGACAACATCGTGGCACGATCCTCTTTGCAGACATAGGTGCCATATCACTCCAACTGCAATTGTAACGGTAAACAATTTTTACCCGAGGAACGAGCTGAATATCACTAAAATTGATAGAGTGTTTTCACATGACGTCACGGCGGCCATAATGGTGTCCCAAAACAATGAAACGGCGGCCATGTTGGTGTCCCAAACCAGTCCTGTTGGAGTTGAGTTCCTTTCTTATGCAAACGCTTTCTTTTGTTCCAATAAATTTGCATAGATGCTGGCCACGTGAGTGAAAACACTCTGTACTCTTTGCTACAACGTATTTTTTCTTCAGAAAATAAGAACCTTTATAAGAACCTACTGTAAATAACCTAAATTTGATACGATACAGTATTTACAATAGCATCACCGAATATTCTAAGCGATGCTTTGGCTTCAAAAGTCGTGTATAAGCTGTGGTGACAAGTTTGTGTCTTCACCTGTGTACGCTAACTTGGGAAATGCAGGTTCTTAGTCGCTCAGTTTTTATTGCATAACGTCGCCTGTACAATGGGTTTAACTTTGTCATTAACAAGATGATAGATTCTTATTGGCTTTTGTGCACAACTTAACTGTTTTTAAAAAAATTGTCCAGAAAGAAAAAATTCAGCCAACGTTACTAGTAAGTGAAATCTCAATAGCTAAGCCCCTGGCAACCAAAATGAATCCAAATCTTTTTTCTGTAAGATGTCCACCTTAAGCTTGAAAACAAAAATTAAGAAAAAGAATGGGTCCATTGACAAGTTGTATTGCTTTTAGAATTTGAAATCAAAGAAGCAAACGATACAGTATTTACAATAGCATCACCGAATATTGTAAGCGATGCTTTGGCTTCAAAAGTTGTGTATAAGCTGTGGTGACAAGTTTGTGTCTTCACTTGAGTTTTCCATTATCGGGTTTCTCGCATTTTATCGTTGCCATAAATAATTGGTAATCGGACAATTCGGAGTAACGTCAACTGCGCTATGCGCAAAACACAGGCGATTTAATATTTACGCCTGTCTTCTCCCTGAATTGTACACCTCTCAGTCCTGCTACCATTACGAATGAAGGTGAAATTGTAGTTGAACCACTTACAATATATGGGGGAGAGGGTAGGAGCATCGCCCCACGCGTGATATTCTGTAAGTGCAGGAGACGGAAAAGAATGCAATATTCCATCATTTTTCACTTGCTGATGTATCTTATACAAAAGACTATTTCTTTACGAATTTGAAGTTAAGAACGCATCCATAATTAACTGAAGCACACGACAGAAAACATTGTGAGCTAGTTTCTTTAACTTGCAGAGCCTGTCAAACATCAGATTGGAAGGAGCACAAAGCTACGTGTACTGCTTCTAAAGGAGCCAAGGTGAAGGACGGTACCTAGGATTGTTATGGTCCATCAAAAGATAACATAAATGATGAAAAGATAAGGACATCAGTTCAAGGGTCGCTGTAACGGGACTCTCGATGTAAGATTGTTGAAAGCCTTTTTCTTCACACAGAAGATAACAAAAGGCTTCTGCAAAGCCAAACATGGTGGCTCATTTACAGTGGAATGTTTGACGAAAAGCAAATTACAGTTGCTCCCGGCTGCGCCTCGAGCAACTCCTCGGCCTCTTTCTTGCTCTCCTAACTTCCCGCGTGCTTCATGTCTCGACTAGCCTGCAAACACGATTCCAAGTGGAGTGGGGCGAACAAGAAAATCGGCGAGCGAAGCGAGACGAGCGTGGCCTTGGAGAGAGATAAATGCGGGGGAGCCAGTAGACTTTGTTTTGATGTCGCCCATCCGCCCACTTGCAATTTAGGGTGGAATGATTTACAACATACGCGTATAGCTGTCGCATTTGCCCGCTGGAATTTTTTTATCATTTTCCGGCGTAAAAACAATTTAAAATGCGACAGCTATACGCGTATATTGCAAATGAATACACCTTTAATATCCTTTAACACTTATTTTTCACTTTGCTCGGTTTCCTTTGTTCTTTTTACGGGAATATATTACATAACCCCTCATTATTATTCACTGTCTGAAAAGTTTGGTAGCGGCTTTGATTGTAACATTGATTGTAACAGGGGAGTGCGGGGCTGAAACAACGATAACAAAACAATGCAATATGTATTTCCCCTTCTCGTTCCGTTTCTCATATTCCCCTCAACATGTCACACTATCCCATAAAACAACACAAGTCACAATTTTGAATTTCGATTCAACGAACTTACCACAATTTCTGAACTTCATTTCCGTCGTCGGCAGCAGTCATAGCGCAACGTCCTTTAAACTAGAATTTCGCTTCAGCGGTCGCGTCACTTTCAAATGAATTTGACAAAACATCTCCGACGTCTACCTGCGAACATCCTGGCTTGCAATGTGACTCGTCGGACGACTGACACAAAAATCTGCCGCGGTGGAGGGTCCACAAGAGTTTCCAAAACTGCTCTGCCTTAACGTTATGAATACTTCTTCCTCTGAGTTACTCATCTCTTTCTCATAAAACTACTCTTTGACTACTCCAAAGAAATTGACCAATTTCCATATTTTAGAATTCAACCTCAAACAATTCGAGGATCTTGAGAATAATCATCTCTAGAGAATTAATTGAAAGCTTTTTCAAAAGCGTTTTGCTTTAGGAAACCTCACGAATGAAAAATAAGCATTTAAGTTATTTACCTGTCGCGCCCTCGGGGCGGCACCTGATGGATATATCACATATCCCCTAGTTCCACGTAAATAACCCTTGCACAATTTATGCCACTAACATGTCAATAAGATAATTAGTCCCGTCAAATTAAGATGTTTTTTTTACGCTTGAATGCATCGGCTTAATAACATTCCTACGCACGACTGGTGCGCACGTGGGTATTCATCGCTCACTTATCAACAGTCAGCGATCTGACCAATCAGATCATGATACGTGAATCTGGTATCATGGATGGGCGGCATCAGAAGGAAAGTCTAAAAGCTCCCCCCAAACTTGGAATGGACTTTAATAACAATCGCATTTATTGTTCGCCTAAAAATAAATACTGATTAGTTTTGTCTTATTCAAGGCATCTATTCGCGTACGATTATATTGACTATTCATTTAACATATTTCGGAATTCGCCATTTCTGATTGGCTCCAATCTACCTACTAATTTTTCACAACAAGCCGGCACTTATCACATTTGGAAGAGTCAGCACTATATAATCGATACGATGGTATATTTCCGCCATACAAAATAGCAACCTCGTTTCCAGGCAGTGGCGTGGCAACCTAATAAAATGTAAACTGAAACAAATGGCGAAAGAGTTCACGAGTATCGGAAAACGGAATGGCCCAATTGCTGACTAAAACTGAACTGAATAAAGGTTGTATGTACGTATGTATGCAAGAATACGAAAAAAATATTGCTCGATGGATGTCAGCTATCCCAAAACCGTGCTGAAAAAGAAAGACAACGAGGAAGTAAGGCTGTTAAAAACTTAGAAATGTTTTGAATGAATTATAAAACTGTTATTGATTGCGGCTTCCTTATGATATCAACCGCCTGTGATATGAAGAATTATGCAGATCTCAGAGCCTGATAAAACCCCTATTGATCTGTATGAACATTCACAACATTATACACTTAATGTCAGATCCCAAGGGAAACAGTTAGTTTTGTTTTCCCGAGAGTCCTGATGTTTCCCGAGACGAAGTCGAGGGAAAACAAAACTAACTGGTTCCCGAGGGACCTGACATTAAGTGTTTTGTTATATTTCTAGACTTTCACTTCAACAGCAACAAAAGAATAATCGGAGCGAACCAAAACTGTCGACTCGGTACTTATAACAACACAAATTTAATTCTCCACACCACTGAATGAATGATTTACAAACAAAAGTACTTTCCTTATATTATCTGCATCTTTTTCGTCCACTAGCTGCTGTTTTTCTTCTTGGAACTTCTGGGATAACTTTAAAAATCGTTGCTTTTTAGCTTGAGGCTTCGTGATTGTGTTGTTGTGTTCATTCACGAAAAAGAAAACTGGCAGGACCTGACGGTGTTTTTCCCGCCTTCTGTCACGCCACTTTCCACCATGCTTTTCCACGTGCTGCACTGTATCCCGAGCGGGGTACATTGTTTAATGTATCACGATCGGGATACATTTGATTTTAGTCAAGGCCACGTGACCAAGAATCAACCAATGGCAGTCCCTGTTTAGTTGATTGAAAGTCTAGGAATATAACAAACTCTATTGTTGAATATGACGTTAATATAAATATAACGTAGGCAGCCAGACCACTACCGAAACCACTGAGTCATTTCAACGTTAAAACGACTCGCCGCCTTTTAAATTATAAATCAATCAGGCAATAGAAACTTGTTTAGTATATTTTTTTACACGGTCATACTGATTTACTGCAACCAAAAGATATGTGAACAATTGTGACAGACTTTGAGGAGAGGCGAGGTAAATATTTCTAAAGCAATTGTTCACTGAAATTGAAAATAATAATTGTTCTAGTATATGCGCACCAAGTGATGTCAACAGTTAATAAGTCGACGTTGGTCATCGTAAAAAATGCGCACATAGAGTTATTAAATTTTAACAAATTTGTTATTCTTTCGTGTCTTAACGAGAATTTTGCGAATTCGGCTGTAGAGATGAAAAAAAAAAAAAAAAACTGCTACCACGCCTGATAAGGAGCTAAGTGATCGAGGAATATGACCAATTTTTCTTCGATTCCAGTAAACGTGGCCCAGAAAAATGCCTTCTTGCTTGTGTTATCAAGCAAATCCACAAGCACACCACACTCCATTATCACGTTGAAGATATCTGGGCTTTGAATATGGGAAACGATGGTGTGACTTCTATCACACACGGCAAGCAACTGCAGTGGGTGAGTGTTCTGAGAATGGGTTTTAATTTTAACAATAAATTTTTGGCGGCTGTTTGTTCGGGGCGCAGATCCGGTTCCAATACCTTTTGACTGGGCGCCGAATGTCTGCACCGAGGCTAGCGCTTCCTTTGACTTTTCAATCGGAATAAGGTCAACTGTAACGGAGTAACGGTTTTTTAGGGCCAAACATAACGTTTTATGGATGGACCAGTGCCGGCGCTGGCATTCTTTGCTACAATAGGATGCAACGTTGCATGTTAGGCATTTCATGAGGCGCAGATTTAAGCGACGACAAAACGTGCAACCAGTGACTAGTCGCTGTCCCACCTCGCGGGGATGACAGATACCCTCTTTGTTGTTAAATTCTTTGTTCCCACTGAGAAGAGGCGGTTTGGAATAAACGCCCCTTTCTCCTTTTGGAAGGTTAAATAAAGCAGCAAGCTCCTCATTCTCAATGGCAAAGTCAAGATCTTTCATTCCTTGATACACAAGCCATGGACCACTGTGGTCTCGGACTATGTTTGAATCCAGAACAATTCGTCCGGAATAGTTAAATCCGATCAGTATTCCACCACATTTATTTCCAGAGATGACATTCTCTTTTATAGTTCCTGATGTTCGTAACTGGGCTTGAATTCCGTAGAATCCATTCTCAAAAATTCTGTTGTTATTTACCAAAAGACAGGAATTCTGGTCTAGGGAAAGGCCAAAAGGTCTGTTATGATGAACATCATTGTTACGTAAAATTATCTTGTCAGTGTTGTTGCAGACGAAAATGCCCTCTTTTCTATTTTCGAATATCTTGTTACCACTAACAATACATTCTCCAGCATTTGGACCTATAAGCACACCATGATACCCACTGTTGTATACCCTGTTCTCAAAAGCCAAAAGTTGTCCACCTTCTCTTGCTTCTAGACCAGCTTGATGGTTCTTATACACTTTGCAGTTTCTGACCTCCAGGCGGGAACCTTCGCCTGAAACTAGCGCGCCTCCACCTCCACAATCGTGAATAACACAGCCTTCAATAAGTCCAAAGCTGCCATGCAAAATCTGGATTCCAGCATATCCAACAAAACCGGAAATTGATCTAGGATCTCCAAATTTGCCACTGCGGTCACAAACCGGTTTTCCTAGGGAGGCGGATACGCAACCTACACCTCCGTTACAATCTGGAAAGTCATCACAACTAGCCGATCCTCCAGAAACTTCACAGTGTTTCAGGTGCAGAGCTGCTTCCTTGCCTTCACAAGTTATCTGAATGTTCCCTTTAGGGAAAACAATGTTTTCAAAATAACATTTGGAGCCGAAAATCGTACACCTGTCCACACATGTCAAGACTACTTTTCGTCCAATACCTACAATTTGAAGATTGACGAAGGCCAAAAATTCTGCTAAGTTATACTCTCCTTCGTGTAGTAGTATGGTTTCATTTCCACGAGTCGTCATCAGAGCAAAATTAAGTTGTGTTTCGTTTTTTATTTCTTTGGCCATTTGCTCACCAGCTTCTGAAAACATACCACAAAACACTTTGTCATTGCGAAGGCTGGGATTAAAGTGAAAGGCTATTTGAAGTGCTGCCTCTTTTTGACCAGTTAGGTGACTACAGCCAATTTGAACAAGATCACGGAGAGCCCAAGCCTTGCGTTGTAGAGCCTTGTTGTAACAGGGATTTAATGAAAGACACTTTTCACAGTCATCTAGTGCTTCCTGCGGTTGCCCAAGTTTTAAGTAGCATAGAGCTCGGTTAGAGAAGAGTCGGAAGTCATTAGCGGACAAATCAATGGCACTTGAATACAGTTCTAAGGCGTTTTTAAACTTTCTATTTTTAACGGCAAGGTTGCCTTGTTCTCTGAGTTGGTTAGCGTTTTCTTGTGCTGTCGTTGCTTCATCCAAGGGATCGCAATCAGAAGCAGGCTGCCTCAAACAATGGGAAATAAGCTTGTAGTGCCTGTCCTTTAGAGGGATGTCGATGAAGTAATCAGGCATTCTGGCACCATCTTCTGGTGACAACGTTTGAAGGTTCACAAGAAACTTCAGTTTCAATTCCTGCATCTCTTGTGCCTTGACTTTCTCTTGTGATACACTGAAAAATATACCTGCTTCGTTAAAAATACGCATGGATTTTTCTGTATACAGCAAAGTGCCGACCGATTCCTTATGTCTTGCTGAGAAATTTTGTAAATGCTCCTGCAAGTAGGTAGTGTGTGAAGCCAACTTGCCCCATAGATGCAGAGAAGGAGGATTTTGAACACTAAAAACAGCGTCTTCAACAATAGTTTCGCACACTTCCGCCGGAGAGAGTGTATTTGTTAGCGCGTAGTGAAGGACAGCGATTGCATAAGACAGAACAGTAAACTCCGTTTCCTTCTCCAACTGGTCTCGGATCACTTCTTGTACAAGACGATGAATACTGAACGAATTTGCCCCGTATCTTTGAAACAAGGAAAACTTAGTGAGAAGCGATGCTATGTCAGCTTGATCCCACAAACCACTATCCCTTACAGGACTGCCCTCCTTATTTAGAGCTTCATTGATCAATTCGTAAGGGATATCATCTGGGCCGAGAAAGGCACACACCTGCATAAAAAGAGTGGGGACTTCGCCCAGTTCCATTTCCTTTGAGATATGACTGATGTGATCAAAGTTTAACTTCCACGTAGTGTTGACAGCCAAGCGCTCAAGAGGAGTATTTTCCACTAACTGTCGGGCTTTTTTGTTACTCAAGAGACGCAGTTTTTGCTCTCTGTATTTGTCAACGTACTGTTGTATTGTTTGCTTCAGGCAACGAATGTAAGCGCCAGCTTGATCAAGAGCTAAGGGAAGTCCGCCTAGTTCTTTGACCAGTTCGCGTGTCTCATCGTCTTTCCAATCTTTTCCAGTTCGCATTCGTAAAAACTGAACTCCTTCATCTTCTGTTAAGCACTTTAACTCTATGCAATACGATTCTTCGACACCTATTTCCTCTCCCAACTCTACTAATTCCCGTCTCGTGGTGACGATAATATGGCCTCGAGCTGCATACTTCCAGTGACCAGCAAGAAGCTTACGCATTTCTGTGGACATTTCTAACTCATCAAGATTATCGACGACCAGACACCACAACTCTTCACGTTTTCCCAGCCAATCAAGGGTCCTCGACAAGGAGTTATACCAGTCTTTTTCAAAAGTTCCAATTCGCCGTGCCATTTCACTGAGGGTCCTTTGAAAAAGATTGTTATTCTCGCCTGAAATCCAAAAAATACCCCCTGGATATTCTTCCTCGTGTCGCCATAGAAACTCAACAGCGAGAGATGTTTTTCCGACTCCCCCAAGACCACAAATGGCTGAGTGAACGCAGCCTTTGCCGGCAATTTTTAGGTGCCCTGCAATGGCTTCTAGCTCGCTACTACGGCCGCAAAAACAAGGGTTGCGACTGGGCACATGGAAAATACTGGTAGTCGATATTGTATTAAGGTTTCCATCTTCCAGCGCTGTAACTCTTGCACCCAATTGAGACCGCTCGATTTGCAAAGCACCGACCTTTGAGGTAAGATTTTCTTGTTCTTCCTTTACGGACGATAGTGTTGCCTCTAAGTCATTTTGCTTTCCCTCTAATAGTGAAATATTTTCCTCACTGGCAACTACACGCTTCTTAGTGATTGTCAAGCCTTTCGAAATTCCTTCAATTGTACCCGACAAAGCTTCGTGTTCTTTTAAACGTTCCATTTGCTCCGCGTCCAGTCGACTCTTGATGTCGCGAATTCGTGTATAAAAGTTTTGAACCTCCTCTGTGGTAATCTGAAGGGCATCACTAATCCTTTTGGCTTCATCGGTGCTTGATTTCTTTATATTTTCCACTTGTTTTTCAAGGTTGGTAACCTCCAGACTAATAAGATTCATCAGATCTTTATCTACGGGACAGCCCATACACAGCGTCAAACCTACCACAACAAATTTTATCCTTAAAAGGCATTCGCAAGATGTTTTAGAGAATCTTCTATGTATCATAGATGAGTTACCTCAAGACATTGTGGAAATTTGCATGTGTTTGTTAATCTGACTCTGATCGGAAATGCTAACAAAAACATTTCTTTCATGAAAAGTAAGAAATGGTAAGATCTCCCTGCAGAAGTGTGGTAAAAACTCGAGAGTTAACCGCCGATCTATAATTTACAATTTTGACTCTGCGGGACATTCTTCGCGCCCAACAGACCAATTCGGCTAACTCAATGTTGTACCCAATTCGGCTAACTCAATGTTGTACCCAATTCATACCCTTTGGGAATAAAACGTTTTGTTTCAGGAATTTCCATATCATTTAAATGTGAATGCCACATTATAATGTAAATACAATACACACAGAATCTTAACCCCGGGAGATTTGAATTGGGTACAACATTGAGTTAGCCGAATAGGTCTATCGACAATATAACTGTCCCGTACAGCAAATTATAGGAAGCAATAGATTTCCCAGCCCCTGATCATTAAGTGACTAAATCGTGAGACTGCGAGTTTTCACTATCACCTGTACTTTACTCGTGTGCATAAGAAATAGGCAATTTTGCAGGGGGAACCTTCAAGTAAACCTGATATTGCATTGTCTGATTTTGGACTTAACTGAATAGACAATTTCTTGCTGGTGCAAGAGCTCACGGTGATTTTGGTGCAAAGATGTAGAAGAAATGATCAATTTAACATTTTGTAGAATTCTGCCATGAATATTCCTTCTGTTCATAACCACGAGCTTCCCTACAATAGCACACAAATAACAACCAACATTTCTGGTCGATTATGCCGTAGTAGGCCGCTGCAGAAGCAAGGAAAACCCCTGCCATACAAAACGCCAAAAAGGGGAAACATGAGTAGGAACTAAGACACAAAACAATAATCGACAACTGATACGGTAGCGTGTTCTTCTAATGCCAGGTAACCAAAGAGAAATTTTCATATATTGTGGTGATACTTCCCTTTCTATGACAGAAATACTGTATTTATGAATGTTACGGCTAGGTTAGAATTCTTACGAATAACTAATATACTAAAACTTGCCTTTGGTCTCCCATTCCTGAAGGTCATCTAGATGCTCATCCACATCGGCTTTTGGTAATCCCAGTGAACGAAGTAACGTTTCAATGAGCTGAAAACCGTTGTTAAATTCTGCGGCAGTCCAATGGTCAAAGTTGCAATGTCCCCATTCATTTCTCACCTGAGCTCGCACGTTTTTAGCGTTGGTTTGGATACGAGCGTGAAAAATTGATGCTCTCTCAAGAATTCCTAACACTGCGGACAGGTCACATGTGTTATCAAACCCTAAAAAAGATAATTATGCAATCTCCAATGTTTCTTCACTTTGATGTTAGTATTTCGCTGCAGTAAATGGCATCTTCGAAATGCAAAAATTCTAAATCTCTGATTAAAAACTTCCGACTTTATCGTCCTCTTGACTTACAGGGTTGATGACTAGGAAATTGTTATTTATCGGCTGGAGTCGTTTCTACGGTGACTGTTTTTACGAGTGTCGTCTTGAAACTGTATAATTGGCAATAAAGAGTTTTTAGAATCAGGTTTACGGAAAAGGGCAAACGGAAAACGTTAGTTTCTACCACGTGACCAAGTGACCCTTTACTTGTCGTTTACTACACGTGTTCATTCATTCTAGACAAAAATGTTCCTCCATAACATTAGATTATAGTTTTGGACAGTTTTTACCTGCAAATTTCCCAAAATGAGAACTTGTCAACTTCCACCTTACGTTTGCCGTTTGCCGTGTACGTGATTATAAATCTCTGCAATAATTATTACAGTGATAAGAGGACATTGTGCGTGATATATCCGACAAAAAATTCTAGCTAAAAAACGTCCCATTCTTCGAATGGAAAAAAAAAGTGGAAAAATCCCCTCTGAATTTTCCGCTGCATTTAACTTTTCTCCATTATTTCTCAAATTTAGAAGAAACGTTTTGAAGCGGAAATTTCAGTTCTATTTTTCCTATTTTTACAGTAGATAGGGCTCGAAACCACCAAAAGTGTTCACGGTAACCGAAGGCAAACTTGGCCGAAAACCAACAAAAATGGGGCTGTGACATTTGAATTTTATATCACGCGAAAAATTTTGAATTTTATATCACGCGAAAGTAAAAATGCGTTGCTCATTTGGTGCCAATTTTTTTCGCTATCACTCGTGTAAGATATAATATTGCAGTAAGTAAAAATTCTGCATACGATCAATCCTTTCTTCCTCACTTGTTTAAAAGGACGACCGAATTTTGTGTGGGAAAGGCAGGAACCTGACATTCTCATACCTGTAAACTTGGCCATGTGTGGCTCTAGATAAAGTTTGGCCAGGTCTTCAGCTGTGTTAACCTTATAATCATACAAACGATCTTTTCTCTTAAATTTTCCCCAGTTGTTGTTTATACTTCCATAATTCAGCAGAAATGAGCCATCTTTATCGAAAAAATGTCCAAAGACTTGAGCGTCAATTCCATGTGCACTTTTCAGGGTTGCGTAGTGTTTGGGAATTTCTTGAGCCACAAAAGTTCGGAGAACTGGCAACAAAAGTCTGTTCAAACAAATCCCAATCACAACCCATCTCTTCTGGTTCTCACCAAGGTCAAAACCGCTGACTGGAAAGTTAAAGAAAGGAAAGGTCTTAGAAGACCCTCTCGGAAGCTAACCAGCATTAACATCAAAAAAGATTAAACTAGATAGACTGGACTGATCAAAATTAAGCATGACTAGAGCCCTTTTATCGGGTAAGGACAAGCTCTGTCCTTACCAAATTTGCCCAGTATCTCATTGCATAATGAAATTGGAAATAACGTATCACAACTCACTGTTTATAGCCTTCATAGAGTGGTTTGACACCAAAAAACAGAGCTTCCATGTAACTGATACTAATAACAGGTATAGCACGAATATGATCTCGTCCAAAATGTCTAACGCGGTGGTAAAGGGTGCAAATGATGACCTGGCTCACATATGATAACAGGGCTCATCAGCCACTTGGGGACTTTTCAGAAATTAGCAGGGGGGGAGGGGGGATGGGAATTTTAAGTTTGGGTTCGGAAATGAGGTGACCCATCCCTGCAATGGGAGTGAAATTTGCTAACCCTCCCCTTGAGCTTGGCCTAAAATATCATGACCCTCCCCCTCTTGTATAAATGATAAAATCTAGTTCTTGCAGTACACTAGGGTGAGTCAGTATTATGAAAACTCAAATTATATTTCTAATCTGTTCTTTGTAATGCTATATACATACATTTTAGATGACAGCATTAAGAGTCTGACTCTGATTCTGACAGCTGATCACTCGACTCTCCTATTTCTCCTAAGTTTTTTTTTTACAAAATAAAAAACTTCCATTTTCTTCTGTGGGTGAACCTCTACATGATCATGGGCTTATATTTCCATGACCCCCCTTCTAATGGCCCATTTTTCATGACCCCTCCCTTTTCTGAGTCTTAAAAAGTTGTAACCCTCCCTCTGTTTCCACCCCCCCTCCCCCTACTAATTTCTGACAAGTCCCTTAGCGCGGCTAGCATTTGCCAATTCTAACTGGCTGTGCTCTCTTTTTTGCTAATTGTCAACCTGTAATATACTTCTCTGTAAGTACCAAGAGCACTAATGAACATTGCTTGATCTTATTGATTGATTGGTTTGACTTGGGAGATCTGACTAAAATTTCAGAGGAAATTCTCCTAACGGCAGCTCTCGTGAGCAGACAGCTCTACTTACGGCCGCCTTCACAAAAACCCGCTTTTCTTAACTCTTATACAAACTCTGCATTTCTCGTTCCCGTAAGCGGCCAGCTCCAGTTACGTACACCCTTCTCGCGTCCCGAGGATTTCCGCTCACGAGGGAGGGCTTCCACTATATTTTCGTTATACTTGTCGTCGTCATCATCATCATCATCATCATCATCATCATCATTAATTTATTACTTGTGATCGGCCTGTGTAATTTGCGATAATCTTCTCTTGCTCATTTAAAAGTATTCTCAATCTTATTCTAGCTGCTACAGTAAGGGCCGAGTTCAATTCCAAGGAGGATCCAATATAAGCTTAAAAGTGAAATCGATCAGTTGATATTGCCCGTTTAGTCAGTCTCAGTAGGGGCCTTGCACTGGCGTGCGAAAAGCAGTCCTCAAGGCGTTATCTTAGCTTTTTCGGGCTTAAAACGAGTTTTGGGGTTACCTTATATAAGGTGCTGAGTGTAAATACCCATTCCTATCTAATTAGAGTACGTTAGCAGCGAAATGCTGATAAAATGCTTTTAGAATATGTGATTAAACGTACAGCATTTATGGTAGAATTTTATTTATCGACAACTGTGGCCATGGAATGTCTCCATTTTTGTTCATTTGTTTTTACATTACTGGAGACAAAACTACTGTAAAACTGTCAAAATTACCTGGTCCAGTTGCAGAGGAGGGGCTTGTAAGAATTGTTGCTGGAGCGGGAGAGCCTAGTAAAGGTGTTGGCGTGAAAAAAATATGACGCCCATGTGCGGTCGCCATGATTGATAAGCCTGAAAAAGTAGAATCCACGCTAAGAATAACTTGTATAGAAGTAGCTGTATATGCTGTAATTTTATATTTTGCCTTTTTCTCTTGTCTTGTTAATGTAAATTGTTTCTATTTCTTAAATTTTGTTTCTATGTAACTATTGTCATAAGAAGTCTTGAAATCCAATAAAAAAATAAAAATAAATATATAAATAAAAAACTTGTACAGAAGAGGCGCATTTCCAATGGCCAGTTAGCCTGCGTGCAGACGATAACTAAACTCTAATTAGTACCGTCTGCGAAGCAGCGCAGAGATCCTTGTTCTGGACCCCCAACAGACTCAACGAATTACTGGAAGTGCGTTTCGAATTCCCCTTCAACCTGATTGGCGATCACGACAAACAAAACAAAGGCCTTTTTTAACTGGCCAATCGTGGCGCGTACTCAAATCTGGGTACACAGCTGGAAGTCCAGAACAAGGATTTCGGCGCTGTTTCGCAGACGGAGTTAACCAGAGTTTAATTTCGTCTGCGCGCAGGCTAATGGCCAGTACGCACGTGCGCACCTAATAAAATCTTACGGTTAAGAAAACCAAACACATAATGAAGTGTTTTCCCAGATTTTGCCACAAAAGGACAGTGACTCTGCAGGACACTGTCCAGCAATCAGTAAGGTAATAATTCAAATATCCGGGAGAAAATTTATTCGGGAGATGGTGAAGGGTGTGAATTTAGAAAATTGTGCGTCCTCGGGGAAACTCTTGGCTACGTTACTCAGTTTCTGTGAACTCAGGCGTATTTCTGGTTGTCCCTTCTCTCCACTCGAAAAAGTTACTTTCTCAGGATGTCCTAGAATAGATCCAGCAAGTGGCCAGAGCAGAAATTAAACCCAGTAAGGGGAGTGCACGCGAGTGCACTCGCGCGCGAGTGGCGATGTCGCGAGACGCGCAAAACGAGGGCGGCAGCCATCATCATCTTGCGCCATCAGTCACGCGCGTGGCCATTTGCGTGTCTCAAGTTTTGCTCGACGGACTACAGAAAAAAAGAGAGACTGCTCATAGTCTACATTTTGTATTATTTTTAACTGGGACATTTCCGCAATGCACTCCCCTTCCCCAATCTCTCTGCCCCCAAAAATATAACATGGCAGTATAGCATGACAAATTTAATGTAACCACAAATTCTCAAAATTTTTTCTGTTCACCAAAGGTAGCCCAAAGTTCAGTAGACTTACAGAGCTTGGGCTGCCTGTAGTTCTATGCTTATGAAAAATGTTAGGGTCAACTCTTGGTGTTTGAAATACTGGTACTCATTATACTGTCATATAAAGGTAATTTTTTTGTTTCTTAGAACTTGTTTTGTCTGATATTGCATTGAAAGCTCTTCTAGCTATCCTGGTGAATAAGGTCAGGTCAGATCAACTTCAAGAATGCAGCTAAATATACTACTTCCCTAGAGGCATTTTAAAAGTTTAGAATTTCATGCCTACCATTGAAATATCTCTACACGTAAATTTCAACAATTGAAATCCGGCAGTCCTGGGTTTAATTTCTGCTCTGGCCACTTGCTGGATCTATTCTAGGACATCCTGAGAATAGTACCTTTTTCGGGTGGAGAGAAGGGACAACCAGAAATACGCCTGAGTTCACAGGAACTGAGTAACGTAGCCAAGAGTTTCCCAGAGGACGCACAATTTTCCAAATTCACACCCTTCACCATCTCCCGAATTAATTTTCTCCCGGATATTTGAATTATTGTCTTACTGATTGTTGGACAGTGTCCTGCAGAGTCACTGCCCTTTTGTGGCAAAATCTGGGAAAACACTTCATTATGTGTTTGGTTTTCTTAACCGTAAGATTTTATTAGGTATGCACGTGCATACTGGCCACTGGAAATGCGCCTCTTCTGTACAAGTTTTTTATTTATATATTTATTTTTATTTTTTTATTGGATTTCAAGACTTCTTATGACAATAGTTGCATGGAAACAAAATTTAAAAAATAGAAACAATTTACATTAACAAGACAAGAGAAAAAGGCAAAATATAAAGCTTTCTATTTTTCTTGTTTCTCCTTTATCTTATGTTCATCCTTGGTAGAATTGATGGTAGCCATTTTCTTGTTTATATCAAGAATAACCCAACCCTTCCTCTCAATAGTCAGAAGACCGGCCCCATGGCAGTGGAAGGAGGCGGAGGTGGGGGGGAGGGGGAAGACATGCAACACCTTCTGGGAGACCCATCTGACATTTTGTCTTTTTGTGACCCCCAAAACAACAAAGCCCACTTTTTAATTGGGCTATTTAGCCACAGGCATCCCAATAATAATCAATTACAATGAACCACAGAAAATTTGTCTTTTGAAAGGGAAATAATTTGAAACTTCTCCTTAATTTGTATGTTGTCTTTTTGCAATCAATGTCATATGGTGTTGTATGAAAGACCTGTTTCTTGGAATTTCATAATTGTAGTTTTGTGTATATTTACACATAATAGTCATTCCCTTGCTAAAATTACAAAGTTCAGCATATAAGGGAATACAGCCTGTGATACCACAGGGACTACCAGTGTAATATAAGAGTTTTTATGGGCACAGGCAACCCAAGTTCAGTATGAGAGTTTAATCATTATTATTGTGCATTCAAAATATTTCCCCAATTCTGATTGGTTGAAAGCACACATGTAATTCACCATAACCAGCTACTGATGACCAAATTTGAAAGAATTTTGCAATTAATCAACCGATGACGTCAAAAGTGCAGCTTCCTTGCAGGTTAATGCACCGTTAACCGAGAAGACCTGGGGACAATGTTGAGTTTATTTTGGTTGTGAAAACAAAAATGGCGGACATTTCACCCATTTCAAGAGAACTAGGCGAAATAATAGCTACAAACATGGCAAGAACAGCAAGAAGACAACTCGAAGGGCGACATCTGCTATTTGGAGAATATTTGCGGAGCTGGACAACCCTAAACGTGCACTATTGAGGATGAACTTAACATCAGTGGAGGTAAGACTGTTTTAGCTGTTTTTAAACTAGGAATTATTTTGAATGACTAATAAAACAATTATTGAATTTGGCTTTCGTATCATAAGAAGATCTAGAAGGGTGTTATCCGTCAAGGCTGTAACACCCTTCTCGATCT